GCCGCGACCTCCGATGGCTCCAGATACCTCGGGAAGCTCCCTCAGCCAAGCTGTGGGTCAAAAAAGGGTCAAAGTCAAAATGGAACCCTGTTAAATGGAACCCAGTATTAAAACCTGGGGGTCCCCTGGTCCCACTTCCAAGTGAGGCTCGGGGATTTTGGGAGGTCGGGAGGTTGGCTTTCATGTGCGTTTGTGTTACAAGTGCTGCTCCCCACACTTTTTTTTGGGGGGGGAGTTGGGAGTCAGAGGTTCATTGAGGCTTGGGGTTTAGTTTGGGAGTTTGGGAAGGGTCGTCATACGTTTTTTGGTTGTTTACAGGTGCTGCGCCTTCCACTTTTTTGTTTTTTGCAGGGAGCCGTTTTTTAAGATTACTTCAGAGGGAAACCACGGCGAAAACAGCCATTTTTGGGGGTTCCCCCGATTTTAAGAGACACCCAAATGAGTGTGTATGTGTGTTGTTTTGAGGGAGCTTTTTAGGTTGGTTTAACGGGACTGCATTGGCATGGGTGTGTTTCCCTCGCTGAAAGCATTATTTTGGGGTGTTCGCCTTTGCAAGCTATGCGGAAGGGTTCTTGGGGGTTGCTGCTTCCGATACCACCTGAACTGCTTTGGATGGTTTGAAGGGACACAAAAAGCACAGATTCAGTTTTGACACCTTCCCAAATCAATCCTCGATCCTAGGTGGTGGGTACTACTTAGCACCAAAGAAAGTCATGATCATGGCTTTGGTGCGTTTTGCTTGGATGTTAGGACTTCAACTTTTTGCTAACTACTGGGTTTTCCCATTAATCCACTAGGGGAGCAGAAAGCAACCGAGATGGGGCAAAAGCATGCCACATCGCCTCGCAACAGCTCCAAATCCCAGAGCTTGGCTTCGAGTGCCTCCGCAGCTTGGCTTCGGGAAAACGAAGAGAACGTCTCAAGATCTCGTCTCAATAGGTGCAAAACACTCGCAGAAAACCGAGGGGACTCGAGGTGTCCACGTCAGGTGTCCTTTGCTTTTTCTCTTTTTTTTTGCGTTCCACGCCATGGAGCGGATTCCATCATGGGCATTGAAGGCGGGGAGCTTCGCGCCGGAGTGAGGTTTATCCGAAGCTCCGAAAAGAAGAGCGCAGCTGTCATGGGTCTTTGGCTCCAAATTACACACACAAACGTTCGTTGTGATTTGTTCGTCCAAAGGGCGGTTGATTTCGTTGAGATCTGTTTGGCACTCGCAAGTGTTTTTTGGCGAGCTCGACGAGGTTTACTGTGGGTCACAATCAAAACCCGGGCAACTGGAGGGTTTCAGGACTAGGTCGGATTGTGACTTATGATAAGTGTGTTTCCCAGAGCTTATGGTCACCCATGCAAGGGTAATATATAAGCCGCTGAATCAAAACATGATGTCATGCTCTGGAAGTCGCGAAAGGTCGTACCCCACAACCCCAATCTTTTTCAATCCAAGGGCCAATAGAAACTTGGGCCAAGGAGCGGTCCTCTCTTCCTTTTCCCAGAGCCGATTGCTTGTGTCCCGATCTTTTGACGGTTGTTTCAGGGTACCATTGCTTGACTTTCTGCCCGTTCCGTCTCAACGAAATGTCTAGAATTGGTGTGTTTGTTCCCCCCCTTTGCGTCCTCGAAAAAATAAAAAAACATAAAAACAACGCCATGTTGTACCAACCCTGAAGGACCTGTCTTTGCTCTTCATTATCTTTTTCTTTTGTGACCCAAGACCAAACATGATGAGAGGCCTTTGGGGGTCAAACGCCCGGTGCGCCAGGGTTTCCTGGCTTCGGGGTTTACGGAGCACCGTCAAAACGGGGCGGCCGGGCGGCCACTTCGGGCGGTCGACGGGGTCCAAACAAAACAGCTCAAAGGTTGTTTGTAATGGGTGTTCGCAAGATTCCACCGGCTTTATTGAGCAAAACAACATGCCAATTTGGTTTTAGTAACAGTGGATTCTGGCCTATTTGCTCAGACGCGCGCTTAACTCTATGTTTGTTTCTACCTGGATCAGTGGTCGAACTGGGTTGATCTCGGGTACCCTCCTGCCCCTGCAAGTCTGTTAGTGGAGTAAGGTTTTGTCATCCCGGTTTAGAGACTTGAGCCGAAGTTGAGAAGAGGGCCGTATACTCGAGACAGGGGTTGAATTTCATGCGCAGTCTGGAAATCCTGGCAAGGGGTCCTACTTGTTTTACCTGTGAGGGTCTCCAAATGCTAACATGGACGAGATTCGTTGGACCTCTCAACCGTGTGCCTTGACTCTCATCCCGTTGTTTTGATAATACTTTCCACAAGGCTTTTTGCGTGTGGACCTCATTTTGGGCTTGTCTCAACAGGAGAAATGCCAGGAGGAGAGTAGGGGCTCATTTCGGACCCTTTGGACAAGTATATGCAGTGCTACGCGGGTGCACTTGAGTGGTCCCCTTATCATTTGGCACACAGGTTGGGCGGGTGCACTTGAGTGGGGGTGGGCTATTGAGCGCGTGTTCCTACAATTTGGCAAGCAGATATGCTGCGCAGGTGACTTGAGCGGGTGCTCTTATCATCGTTTCGCGCGGAGATACGCGTGCTGCGAGGATGGGGCGCTTGAGCTGGTGTTTTTGCATTCATGGATGGCACTCTTGCCTGCGGCGTGGGCGCGCTTCAGCGGGTGTTCTTTTCATTTGGCAGGCAGATTCTGTGCAGTGCTGTGCACAAAATGATAGGAAGACAGCTCAAGCTTACGTTCGCAGCGCGCCAGATGATAAGAACACCTGCTCCACTTCCACGCAGCACTGCATTACGCCGCGCGCCAGCACCGCATTCCCTCAAATGAAATGACAAGAGCGCGCTCAAGGTCGCCCGCGCGTCGCCGCACATGCCAACTGCTGCTAAGAACACGCTCCAAATTCCCGAGTCCCGCGCCCCAAGCTTTCTGAGCCCAAGTTATCGAATTCGTGCGGGTAGTTTTCCAATCCAAGCTTCCGCAGCGTTCCATATGTAATCCGCACCCCAAGTTTCCCAATGCGGGAAGTTTCCGAACTCCGTGCGTAAGCTTGGCTCTAGGGGTGGATTCCCCATTCTTTTCAATCATCGTTCTTTTCAACACCGGATCCGTTTCCCCAGGGTTTAAGGGGTGTTTTTTTTAAAGAAAGATACAGGAAATAATGGAAATGGAAGGTACCATTAGAATGTTGAGTGGTTTTAACATATGGGTTTATGGGGATGCTTGTTTTTGGCAAATCCCAAGATGCTGGTTTTCCTTTTGGTTTCCATTGGGTAATATGTTTGTTAGAAAGATTCGGATGCCAGGGTTCAGAATGGACATGGAAGCTACCCCTAGATTGGCAGCTTGACTGTTATTGGGTTGGATCTTTCGACTTTAACTTTTTGGGAAATCAAGGGTTTTTTTACTAAACCCCAAACAAGTTATTCACTTTTTGCAGGGGGTCAACAGCAACCAAGTGAGCGTGTGACCTTGGCTGCTCCGAACCCCTTTCCGCGAGGCAGCCGTAGCCTCACTGGGCGCCGCCTTCGTTTTGGCGCTGCTGAGTCGCAAGGCCGAAATATGGGGGACCGACTGCCCTTTCCTCGGCCGTGCCATTGGCTTAGAACAAATCCAAGGTCAAACCTCATCGAGTTGTCAAATAGGTTTGGTTTTGGGTGCCATGGCTTCTTTTGGGCATTTGGCTGGGAAACGTTAGGACTGAACAACTTTTGCCAACGAATGGATGCTTTGTGTATTAAACCACTAAAGGTAAAAAGCGTTCAGCAGGGGAGCAGAAAGCAACCAAGGTTTTAGAACAAATCCACATACACCTTCTTGAGGTCAAACCTCATCGAGTTGCCGAGTACATTTGGTTTTGGTTTCTTTGCCGGGGGTATTTGGAAGGCTTAATTCGGTCCCCCTGAAAATAAACGGTCCCCCCTCCCCCCCTAACAAGAAGCTAAACACCTCAGGATTTCTATTGTTGGCCCCACGGCTTTTGGACCGAACTGCTTCAATTAAATATTGTTTAGTGTTGGGTTCCAGCTGCAAAAAAGAGGGACCCCTTTGATTTGCAAAAAGTGTTCAGAATGCAGTTTGCAAGTAGGAGCGTCTAAAGGGAGGGGACCACTTTGATTTGCAACACAAAGTGTTCCGAATGCGACTTTTGAGAAAGACCTTGTGAAGGGACCCTAATGGAGACCCCTAACGATAAATATCGGGTGGCCCCTAGTAAGCGCATCTGGGGAGCTTGGCTGAGCTTGGCTGAGTTCATGTGGTTTCCAGAGAGTTTAGTATTGGTTTAGGATTGATTATTGTTGGCATTCTTTTTTCCGGCTGGAGGGGTTTTGGAGATCCGTTTAGAAATGGGAAGAAGGAACTTCTGCCTTAAAGCAAGCCCAAGTTTTTACCTGATGAGCACCTGTTTGGTCGACATGCGTTGCCTATGGTGCCGCTAAGCCACAGCCCCAGAGGCTGGGCCCGGATCTTCAATTGAACTTGTATCTAAACTACGGAGGAAGGAAGGATGCCATTTGACACCCTTGTGTGTGTGTCTTTCAGTTTGGGTGGGGTGCTTTTACCGTGAGGCCAAAGGCGCAGGGCTCTTTTTGGGGTTACCGTTTGGAGACAAGCGCATGCCAACCAAATCCGTGACCTCTTCCGAAATCTGATTTTTGCGTTGCAAGGTTCACTAAATAACACCAACAGCTCAGGCAGTTTCAGGGAAGGTTTGACGGGATCCTCGTGTCTGGAAAGAGGTGTCAAGAGGTGAAAACTCCGTTGGACACATTCTCTCTCTGTCTCTCTCTACCTCTGGCGCTCTCTCCGCCTCTCTGTCTCTCTCTCCCTCTCTCGCTCTCAGAAGGGGAAAGTGCAGGAGTGAGCAGGTCTCCCGCACAACGCAGATTTGCCACTTGACTGGTCTGAACTACCCCCGCCTGTCGCCGGCCGAAGGAAAGAAGTGTGTGAGAAAAGCGGGCGTAAGGACACCATTGAGTTTCGTAAGGGCATTATTCGCAGGAGCCGCTCTCGAGGTCAGCCAGTACAAACG